TAGCTATGGATGGTCTGACTGAAAAGAGTCTGTAAAGGTAACTTGGAAATAAAATGAGTGCCTTTTTGAGCCTTCAGGCATTTTGCTTTGTTACCAGCTATCAGGGTCATTTTACAACATTTGTGAACTAGCTGAAGCTAGCTTGGTTTTGTAGCTCCCCAGTTTTTAATGTAATATTTGTGAGTGCTACACAAGAGTAAAATTAGTAGCATAAGATCAAAAAACTCCAAAGCGATAATCCTAAATACGTTAACTTATCTCCAGAATGTATTTCCTTAAGCAAGGATGTATACCTGTGAATATAGGGTTTATTATTTATTATTTTCATCAGAGAAAGACAAGCACATTTTATTTATGGTGAGTCTCAAAGCATCTATTTTCAGGCCTTTGCTTCTTTCATGGAAAATAGCAGTATGTCAAAATGCTTTCTAAGTTATGTGTCGCATCTGTGCCTCGGTGGGTTGTTTTTTTTCCTTAGAAAAATCATAAGTTATAGTTGTTGCCTTGTGTATAGATTGAAGTAATTGTTGCTTTGGGGTCAGTATTTCAACATCCATTTGTATTGGAAAGGAGAAAAATTCTCTGCCTGCTCAGATGAGGATTTATTACTTCAGTTGGTAATAAGTAGAGGGACTTACCATCTGATAAAATAACTCAAAATATTTAAAAGCCAGAAGAAGGAAAATAAAAAACAAAACAAAAAAAAAACCACACCTGGCCAAAAAAAACCCCAAACAAACAAAAAAAACCCCACAAAAACCACAACTACAACACCTTTATAGCAGAACAGATAAGCATATTTATAGCTTATATATAGCATGTATGTATGCTGGGGTTTTGATGTTAGCATAGCCACATTGCTTGGCAATTACACTAGGTTTCATTAGAATTTATAATACCAAACTGTTGATCAGAATCTGCGGGAGTCATTGTATAGTGCCATTCGCTGTAAATGAGATGTGTTGCACTGGGAATTGTTCTGGTGTATTTCAGTGCCTTCACAGTTCTTGTGATGAGGACATTGCTGCTGTAAAATAACAAAAGAGGATAATCATACCTCTGACAGTATTTGGCTAGTAGCCGTGAACTGGATTGCCTCAGGAAGTTTAATGAAAAGTGTAACACTTAAATGTTTTAGTAACTGTGTAGTTCATAATTAGCAAAACCTTCAGTCAGTAATTTGTCTTCTTAAGGTCAGCATGCAATGCAGTGTATCATAGCGGAGGAGCATGCTCAAAACACTGAGAAATGCATTTGTTGCATATTTGATCTGACATCAGTGAGGTGGCAGTTAATAAAAATCTGACAAAACAGAGCTTTTGTGCACTTCTAACAGAATGCATTTTGCAAGGCATAAATGAACATGCAGGGTTAGGTTTTGGTTTTGTGTGCTTTTGAATGTTTGTCCATAATTGGACATAGAATCACGGATTCATAGAATAGTTAGGGTTGGAAACACTAAACCATGTCACCCAAGGCTCTGTCCATCCTGGCCTTGAACACCACCAGGGACAGAGCATTCACAACTTCCCTGGGCAACCCATTCCAGTGCCTCATGAAGTCCAATCTTTACTCCAGGACTGCCAAGTCCACCGCTAAACCATATCACGAAGAGCCTTGCCTACGCGTTTTTGGAACACATCCAGGGCTGGTGATTCCACCGCTTTCCTGGGCAGCCTGTTCCAATACCTGATCACCCTTCTGATGAAGAAATTTCCCATAATATCCAATATAAACATCTCCTGGCACAGCTTGAGGCTGTTTCCTCTTGTCCAGTCACTTGTTACTTGGGAAAACAGACCAGAAATTTTTCCTGCAGAAGTTCCATGGCAATGTTCAAGGCCAGGTCAGACGGGGTTTTAAGCAACCCGGTCTAGTGGAAGGTATCCCTGCCAATGGCAGAAGGGTTGGAACTTGGATGATCTTGAAGGTCCCTTCCAACCCAAACTGTTCCGTGATTCTAAATTTGGGACCTGCTGGAGGCTGGACCATGTCTGGATAATCTCAGCTGACATGAATGGGAACCTTCCAGATCCAAGTGCATTTCACAAAATTTTGAATAAGAGCTTGGCACTGCTTTTAGGAGGGGAGACTTGAAGTTTTTTCCAAAAGCTCTGGCAGAATTGCTAGGCTGCACTGTTTTTTCCAAACTCTTATATCTCGCATTAGAATGGAAACTTTTAGTTAAAAAAAATCCTCTGTCAGATTGCCTCTTAATAGGGTTGGATCCTTTAGAACAGGAAGAAAACCTGTAGCTATTTGAAGATGGGGATGTCAGGAGCTCTAGTGTAGGTATTTGTAAAGTTTACAGCTGCTAATGATGTGTAAATAGTTCAGACGTTCTTTCACACTCCGTTAGAACTGGGTTATTTACTAGTTCCTTCACTTAAAGTAATTGTTGCTGTGTGGAAGTCTATGCTTTATTCATAAAACCTTTATAAACTTTTAGTGCTTTTAAGCCTAGAAGCTTTAGAATTGGATTTTGGATTGCTGCTTGCCTGGTTTCCTTCTAAATTTAACTGTTTCTGAATTCACCTAGCTAGCCACCATACTTCTTCATGCAGAGAAAGTTAAGGTGTCTTGGCAATACCAAAGAGCTGTTCCAAAGAATATGCGTTTAGATTTTAGGTCCCTACATTTCCTGGTGCTAGTAACCATATGATTTTGTTCAGATGAGCATGTTTCCCGTTTGTTTTGGTTACCCAGGGACTCTAGGAATGTTAATGTATTTGCTGAATTTTTAGCTTCTTGATAATCTAGAAATTCCTTGTGGCTGAAGTTCCGCTCTCACACAAGCATCCTGAGAGGCATGTTGTGTGGGGTGGTAGTGCAGAGGGTTGCTTTGTGCTATGCATAGCTAGGTCAGTTCTGGCCTTAAATCAACTCTGATTTAAGCAGATACTCTTGCTGAAATATTCCCCCTACCTCCCCACCATCATGGGAAGGGCATTCTGCCATCTCTTTAAATTAGAGACTAAGAGATTAGGACTGCAAGCAAACCAGGCTTTAAAAATAGAGATGCTGATGATTTGCATTTCCTGGCTGTTTGGTCAGGCCATCGATAATGGCTTTGGAAGAAAGGATGTTCCCTCTTCACCCTCTTTTCTTCTTTCTTCTTTTTTTTTCCCTTCTTAGAAAGTAGGTTTCGGTTATGGAAAAGTGTGTTTTGACTGCCAGCTTCAAAAATCTGGTACACTGGTGAGCTGCTTTTTTAGTATCATAGTGGGCCTTTCCTGGGGAAAAAAAAAGCCATGACAGAGTAGGAGTATTCATTATCTTTGTAGAAAATGTTTTTGCAAGACACTGGCTTTCATACTCTTTCCTCAATGAAGTGTGTTCCTCTTGCTGTGCAGCTGATAAGGCTGAAGTAAAAACGTTGAAGGCATTTTGCCCAAAGCCACCGTCTTTCTGCAGAACTCGGGAGCTGCTTGCGATGGCTGAAATTCATTTCTATGCTTGTTCCAACAGACATATCTGCCATCAGCTCTTCTGCGCAGTCCAAATCCTGCTAGCGACCTGTGTCCAAAAGAGCAACAGCTACCCTGGGAGATTAAGAACAAGTTTGGTCAATACTTCTAACTTTTTATCTGTATTTTCACCTCCAGTGGAACCTCATGTGGGGAGCCTTGGGCAGGTCCTGACTTCGTCTTGCAGCTATCTGCTCTGTACTCTTGACTTAGTTTTAAAGGGGCCTGAAACTCAGGACAGGAGCTTGGGAGAGTTGTTTATATACAGGTGCTGTGTTGATGCAGAAAGTGCTCATCAAGTGGAGCAGCTTAAGTGGTTACTGCCTCAGGTACTGCTAGTGATTCAGGTTAACTGTCTCTACTAAAGGAGAGCAGAGGAGTGTTAATATATTCAAGGAAGGTATCTCAGCTACAAGGTTAAACTTACTAAATTGTATTTGGACTGATGGAAGTACAGATGGGAGATTAATGTGATCATGCCTTTGGTTGTAGCAATCATTAAAAGGGTTTGCTTTGAAAATGGGAAAAGAAATACTGAAACTCTGGGCTTTGCCTCAAATAAAAATCCCTCTGCTTCCTGGAATTGGGAACCAACTCCTCAAAACCCAGCACTGTGGCCCCTTGGTCAGGTTTAGTTTGCTGTGCTCATCTTCAAAAATGCTAATAGCATTGGGAGTCAAGATTCATGTAAAGGAAAAAAAGGAAAATATAACACTGTCACAGTTTGGTTGCTTAATGATTTTCATAGAATGCACAGATATTTTACTATCTTGTATAACTTCATGCTGGGTTTAATTCTTTACTGATGGGTCATGCACACGACGAGTAAAGTAGTTTGTTTTTTTAATATGCCACTATTCCCCTTTTCCTCCAAACAGAGAGGGCCAGATGTACTTTGGGGATTAGGTATTTTAAGTTTCTCGTATCCCTTGAGGGAGGTGCATCAATGCGCATGTTCAGATACACTTTAAAAGTTAAAATTGTCTTTTAAAAAGACAGCCTTTTCATCTGCTGCTGCACATTGAAACACTAATAAATGATACTATTTCTCACTCTGAGATCCCTCAAGCTTTCCAATTTGGTATGTAAAACTAAAATAAAATTCTGACTTTTCAAGCAATATTTTTAATATTTTTCTGTATGTTGAAAAGTACCTAACGGCTGATTTCAGTGATTCAGGATTTTCAAGTTGGTGGTCGAATTCTTAATTTTCAGTCACATTTTACCCCAAACCCACCAGAGCAAACAGATATCTTTCAGATTAATCTACATGGTTTTTTTAAGCCGATAGTGTAATATATTTAAAGTTTTTTAGGCTCTTTTCAGCATGTAGTGCACAGAATTTTTTCATTAGGAGAGTTTAAGTGCTTCAGAACAAACGCATGAGGTTGAGGTAATTAGCTATGTTAGTAAGCATTGAAAAGGAGTAATGCAAGAAATGTGTTGTTGCTGAATGCATTTGCTGTATTTGATAAAGAGCACCAACAGTAGCCTTTACAGGAACATGTTCTTTTTTTTCCTTTTTTTTTGTAGGATGCGAGATGCTGCAAGAAAAATAGAAGAAAAGTATTTTTCTGATATCTCAACACTTGCTGAATTTCTTCCAGTTGAATGGAGATCAAAACTTACCCTCGATGAAGGTACATTGCTTGGTTCTTCTGCTGCAGTCTGCAGAATTGTACCCAGAAGCTCATGCTGCATTCTATGCCCATGCCTTGTTTGGATTTTATCGTCCTCCTGCATGTAACTCAAGTCTCTATTTTTGTTTTCCCTCAGACACTGTGGACTCCATTACTCCAGATAAAGTACGAGGTTTAAGGGATATGTTGAACAGCAGTGCAATGGATATCATGTATTATACCAGTCCCCTTTACAGAGATGAAGTAAGTGTGGTTTTATGTTGTTTTTACTAGAGCAGGGCATAGAGGCTGAAACAAATTGGACTTAGGAGTGTAAGAAACGTTTCCTTCTGAGAGACCCTGCATGAAGAATACAAACACTTTGCAAGTATGTAGTGGTCATCCATAGTAATCAAAATACAGAATTTTAAGAGTGAGAGGAGTAGAGAAACAGCAAAAAGTACAATCAGTGTAATTTATTTAGAGCAGAAATAACTAGCTAAAATGGGAGTTTGGAAATGTGAAGCGTTTTTCACAGGATTTTCTTGCAACTGCATATTCAGAACAATGAGAGGCCATAGAGCTGAGATTATTCTTACCTCTTGCAAAATCCGTAGACATTTGTCACTTAATTTTTGTCAGTTCTGAGCTCGGATGTGATGGCAGCATGTGCAAACATTCCTGAACCAGTTTTAATGCACTTGTGTATTTCCCTTGCAGGAAAAAACAAGATGACCCTCAGTTACCTGTTTGTTAGGGGACTGTTTGTATACTGGATGCTCCCATCTTACCTTGCCACATCTGTGTAGGCCCATGTGTGCTTTTGTGTAGGTGTAGAGTGACCCCATTAATCAGAGGGGAAAAGCCTTGAACAAATCGTAAAGTAGCCTGTAAAATATAGAATGGTTTGGGTTGGAAGGGACCTTTAAAATACATCTAGTCAAAGTCCCCTGCAATGAGCAGGGACATCTTCATCTAAACCAGACTCAAGAGCCCCATCCAGACCTTGCATGTACAGTGCTTCACCTCAGTAGCATCCTTTGTGTATCACACTTAACTGCAAAACCCCTGTGGGAATGTTTTAGGATTAGTTTCTACAGGAATCCCAGTTTTTTCTGTATTGACTACATTATGTATGATAATCTTTTTGCAGACTTGGTTCTCTGTGAATTATGAGACTGGGGTGGGGGGGAGAGAGACTTTCAAAGTTTATATGGGGATTTGATGCTAGTGTTCATTAAAATGAAGTATGTTTAAGTGCTTCAGACTCACAACGTAATTCTTAAACCTAAACTACCTAAGAATATTTCTTTTCCTGATAGCAGCAATGGTGGTGAAATCATTACAAGCCTGTTAACACTGCCAGTAGGTATGCAAAAGCTGTGCTTCTCCTGTCAGTCAGTAATGCGAAGTTCAGGACTCCTTGGTTCTCTGCTGTGTATAGGGTTTCTCTGGCTGGTGTGGAACTGAGCAACAACTATCATGGCAAGTGATGAATACTCTTGGCAGCTTCAAAATTGATTTTTTTTTTATTTTTTTTTTTAAGCTGCATTAGAGGCTTGGCATAGTATGGACCTCTTATGGGAAGCAGCCTAGTGAATAAAGTTCAAGTATGCTGTCCAGCAATGCATGAAAAATTTAATTCATTGCTCAGTAGGACAGTAGTTTTGCAGGTTTATCACCATTGAATTGGCAAATAGCATGAATGCTGTAGCTGTGCTTAGATCGGATTGCAAAAGACCAAGTTGGGTTTTTTTCACCAAATTAAGTGAATTTTCTTGAAATGCTTGCAGCAGTCAACGCACAAGTTGATCATACTTTCAGACTGCACTGATAAACGTAACTCTCAAAGCAAAGTTGTACAATTTGAATTTCAAGTCTTTGTCAAAAAAAACCAAAGTGCTATTTAAGATAAGATGTTAAAACCCTGAAGAACAGGTTTCTGAAATGCATCTTTGTTATTGCAGTCAAAATGTTTGGGATGAAGGTTTTCTTGTTCATTCAGCTACAGGGTTTGTGTTCTGCCAGTGAATTGTCAGGGATGCGACTTCTTGTTTGATTCTGCTCTCTTGGTTAGAAGTTGTGTGAAGCTCATAGTCATTAAATAGGTTTTGTATGTTTTTTTCACCTTTAATTTTGCCTTTAGTTGCAGAAAGGAGACTTGTTTTGGTTTGGGGTTTGTTTTTGGGGGTTGGGGGTGTTACTCTTCCTTATCCCATTTTATATTCTGTGACATAACTTTGCAGAGTTTAAATGCAGCTGTATCAAACTGAGCATTCTTCTGGAAAAGGTTGGTGGTTTTTCACACGTTCATTGTAGCACTTTGTTCTGAGTGCTCATTCCAGCATGGAAATGAACCTTGTAACCTTGTCTTCAAGTACTCACATAATCACATGTCCTTGGAATTAGTATTCCTGCCTGCCACTTCATCGTGCCAACATGATTCTTTGTATGCTGTGGGCACTCCTAACACTTTCCATCCAGAAATTCTGAAAGTATCTCAAAAAGAGCTAATTAAACTTTGCTGTGCCTTTGTGAAATAGATTGAGCAATGTGGTGAGTTCAACCTAGAGAAGAGTAAAGCTGCTATTCATCTGAGAGCTCTCAACAGTACTTTGATACGAATTTTCTTTCTACTTCCAAGGATTTTCCCCACATCTGGAAGTAACATAACTGCTGCTTGAAAGCATTTGACCACTCTTAAACAACTATCTTCTTTCAGGGGGGAAGAAAACTTGTCACAGTGGCTTTCACATGAGAGGACAAAGAGCTGTTTCAGGTGCAGCTGAGTTGCTCTGCTAAATGTTACAGGAGCATGGGGGATGACCTCTTCTGATTTCAAGCACTGTTTCTTCTGCAGCATGGTAGAATATCCAAAAGGTGCTTCTGACTTCTGATATGTAATGTGATAGCAGGAAGGTATTAATAATTCAGTGCAGCCCTATGAACATATCAGTCTGGTCTCAAAGTTCACTCTCAAGGATGTCTGCAGCTAATAGATTCAGCTGTGGTGTTTGTGTGTGGCTGCAGGTCCTCATCTGTACAGTGGTCCACAGACTGTCCTGAATCCCTCTTTAAACATTATACAGATAATAAGGAAGAGCAATTAATTGGTATTTTAATGCACACATGCCTGTTTCTACATAAACAATCATTTCACATTTTAATTCTGACCTTGCTAGTGCCGTCTATGGTAACTTAATCTTGGTTCTTAGTGTCTTCAGTGGGTGACTTTGTTTCATATCTCTTGTCACTGAAGCTTCCTATTTCTTTAATAATAAATAGCTGGAACAGATTTGAAAGACTAATACATACATAGAAAATTTATTGTTGTCACTGTCATTATATCCAGTGCTATATCCAAGTGCTTATTTTACTGATCTTCACTGTATTTACTTGCAGGCTGATTATAATTCTGTAAATTATTGATATGTCTTGGCAGGAAATGCCTTTAGTACAGGATAAATATTATTTACATCCATCATCCCAAGATCACTACAGATTTAGTGCCACTTCTAAAGAGCAGGAAAATGTGGTGCGTATTGAAGGTTTCTCACCAGTTGAGGAAAGGAAACGAAGAAGCCAGGGTCTGGGATGTGGTGGCTGTGGGCTTGGTGTTGGAGTGACATTACAGGCTGTAGGAGGACATGGGAATGCAGTGTGATGCAACCAACATATTATTGCTCCCTTGGACAGACTTCACTTGAAATGGCTTGATGGTTTGCTACTACACTCTTATTAAAAAAGGAGAATTAATGACTGTACTCTTGAAATTCAGACAAATGTTAACTTTTCCTAGAGCTTTCATCATCTGTCTTTGATAGGAGGTTTTGCAGTGGAAATGTCCTGCTCTTACGCACTTCTTTCAGCAATAAAAGGCAATTGTTTTATGTGTGTTTGAAAATGAGATGGATGTAAGGCAGGAATTTTTTACCTGAAGACTATTTTAACAATGGTTTTGCGTGTTCTGTTGAGCCTCATAGTCAAGGAGCTGCTTGGCCGCACTTTCATGGCTGGTTTAGTTCATTTGACTGTCCTTGAATGTATTTTCAGTTAGAAAGTGATGGGTTACTGTTCTATCTGAACCTGAACTTAGTCTTGAATGCAGTGACTTGGTTGAAAATGGGTTAGTCTCAGCTTTTCAACAGCAAAAGGAGTACTGAGAGAGACTCTCAGTTTGGGACATGTTGGTAGTTCCTTTTCTGTAATGTCACTAAGACACGCAATCATTCCTGTCTGTTCATACAGCTGAGTTCTGGCCTCTCAGTCTCTTGTTCTGACACTTCTTTTATCCATCAGTGATGCCACCAGGGAACACAATGACTGTTGTATTCTGGAGGGTCAGCAGTCTTACCATCTCTGCATTGTGTGCTAGCATGTTCTGGTTCACGTAAGGAAACGCTCCTTATCTTTGCTTTCATGGTCCTTTACAATCCATCCTTGAGCTGCAGTGCTTTCGTTGGTTTCAAGGACCTTCTACTACCTCAGATTGGCTCACACACCTTCTTATTGCCTGCTTGCTGAATTTCAAGTGAGTTTGTGCTTTCTCCTGAAGTTCTCTTGACATTTGGAGGGAGCCGCTTGCAAAACTGAGAGCTCCTTAGATCTCCTTAAAATTCTTTTCCCATGAAGCCTACCAAAACAGTCACACTATTCAAGCTGGAGGGATCGCAGAGGTCAAGTTTCCTCCACTTCCTTTTCGTATGTAGCTGCCTGTTATTTTATTCCCTCTTGGGCTTCAAGCTGTCCAGTGGGTGAGGGTTCTATGGATACAGCAGAGAGAAAGGACCTCTGAAAGTTACAGGAAGGGCATGATCAGAGCTGAGAGCAGTCAGAGCTCAGAAGAGGACAATCAGCATAGCCCAAGAGGAGAGTAAGTGTGTTTTTGTTGGCTTTGACAGATCAAAGAAGTTGGGATGGCAGTGCTCTCTCCAAGTTTTGGCAGCAAGCAGGTCATTGAGGATTTGAGCAAAAGCAGTGCAAGCTCTGCATTACTTCTGTGCTTAAGGTGCCAGCAGAGGCTTTGTTTCCTTCTTTTCTTGAAAAAAAAAATAATTATTTCCTGGCTATTGAGGGGACAATGTCATCTTCTACCCTGGTACTTTTGGCATGCACTGAAAAGCCCCTTCAAGCCCAATGATCTGCCCACTAGAACAAGGGGGGTGTGAAGTTCTTCCTCCTGCCCGTGCTGTGGTTTAGATCCATCAGCACCATGCAACCATTCACTCGCTCCCTCTTCCCCACTTCCAGGCAGAATGGGGAGG